GAGGCTCACAGGAAACGGATACCAGCGTATCGGAAATACACCGGCGCCTGGCTGGAGGCGAGATGGCGTCTGCCTTCGGCCAGGGTGAACTTCTCCGTCCCGTACGCACGTATAGTCTCCAAACCACTGAAAAACACGAGCGTGAGTTGGTGCCATCCTTGTCCACAACGCCACAAGACACTGACCTGAAGGTCGTGCTGAAGGTGCTGACCAAAGGCGCTTTGGCGGCCATTTCGAGACCTTGCAGTTGACGGGACGTGGCCTGTCGGCAAGGCATCATCAGCGACGCGGATGTGGCGACTGAAACGCGCTATTCACAAGGTAAAAGCTCTGCAAAAGCCAGTATACGGCACAAAGAACGGGGAGCGAAACTGCGAGCCAGGGGACGGCCAGAAAAACGAGGATCATGGCGCCAACTGTGATGTGCTGGAGTGAGAACCGTATGCTTGAGCGAATCCATGAAGATCTTACCGACATACGCGGCGGTGATAGTAAAATCGAGGATGGCCAGAGGGAATGCCTGGAAATCGTAGATGAGCACCAGTAGGAAGGGCAAACAATCGTTTGAACACCCACAAAATCGATTGCATTCATGTCGCCAGAGAAGCGATTGATCAACTTTTCGGGCTTCGTGTTTCGAAGAGTTGTAGGAGATGCATAGGCCACCGCCGACAACATCCTGTGGTGGATCTCCAAGGACGCATGAGGCGTCGTCTGTTGAGTATACGAGAAGAAGGCGATGAACGCAGCACTCCCGCAGGCAACCGCGAATACGGCGTAAGCCCATAGCCACGGTCTCTGGTCTATCGCATCGCTTTCCGACCAGCTTTTAAGGAAGATCTAGTCCGGTCAGGTCAGCGAAGCAGCTTTAGCTCACTCGGACGAGCCCGTGCACTCGCCTGTAGGCCCACCTCCGTGACCGAATAGCCCAATATCGACGCCAGAGCCACGGCCAACCGGGGCCATCGGCAGGCAGAGAAGAAAAAATGGAACTGAGCCCAGCCGGACGGAGAGGAGGCATCCTTCTTCGCGGGCTCCGCTGATGCCACGCCGGTCTTTTCGTCGGGACCTTCAACGTTCACCTGCCCAGAGACGTCGGAGAGCGTCTGCGGTGGAACGGCCTGGGGCACGTCCTCCAGAGCCGGTTCCCTCTCCTGCTTTTCGAGGTTGCACCTTGGGCGCATTTCGATCCCGGCACTATGTTGAGTGTCGGACGTGATGTAGGACGATACGTCCACGGCGCTCTCCAACAAAGACTCGAGATCTCCTTGTGCAACCACTCTGCCCTCGTCGAGGATTACGATGTCGTGAGCGAATCGGAGGTGATGGTCTAGTTCAAGTTGAACGCGATAGTCAACATAACATGGAATCGGAACTGACCGTTGTGGGTAACCAGAATGGTCGTGTGCGTTCGCAACAGGCCCTCCGATCCAAATAGATTGCTGAAAACAGACGAAGACGTTCGAGCATCCTGCATCGCATGAGTTATGATGGATGCTCGGATCGGAGTACGCTCACCAGCGCGGAGAAACTGTCGTCAAGAAGTATCACGTCACTTTTCGCGTACAGCGCACGGGCTAACGCCTACAACAAGTAATCGGCAAAGCGCTGCCAGAGGGAGACGAGATGGCACACCACTCGATGCTTTTGACCGCCGCTCAGCCCATTACTATCGGAGATGACTGTCATGTCGCCCTTGTCCATCCTCGCGAGATCGGGAACAAGGCAGCAGGCTTTGACGACCGTCGTATACCATACTGGATCGAACGCCTTGTCCAGCACGATGTTTGCGCGGACGGTCGTCGGCAGGAGGAAAGGGTCTTGGCTGGCATACGCCACCCGTCCCATCAGTTGCGTTGCGTGACCAGCTGCCGGGCATGTCTCCCGTAGAAGGGATAGAAGTAGGAACGATTTGCCCTGATGGGATGGAAGAGAATAGTCAGTAAATAGACAATCAAGCGCGTGAAACAAGGGAACGCACACAGCCGACTGGGCCGATGATCATCGTCAACGCCCCCGACTTGAACGTGATGGAGAGGTCATGAAGAATAGGTTTCCGGAGGCAAGATGGCGAGAACGATGCGTTGCGCAGTATGATCTGTCCGTAGGATCTAGCATCCATCGGTATGCTGTCCAAGTCATCTTTGTTTGCTAAAGTACGATGGCTCGTGAGAGAGTCATTCGAGTTGCGGCTCGTTGGAGTCTGGGCTTGGTAGCGCTGTTTCTCTTCGAGCGAAAGAAACGTCGAAACGCGTCGTAGGCTAGCGTAGCCTGCTATCAGTAGAGGAAAGACGTGACCAATCGTGCTGATGGGAAGGATGACGAGGTTCTGAGGCCGTGTGAGCGTTATTCCGAATTCGTAAGCCTTCATGTGTGACATACCACGACAGTGAGTATCGTGAACAACTTTGATGGCTCCAGCGACTGGGAGGTGATGGCGATGTATGTGCCGAGTGCGGCTAGCCCCGCGAAATTCACAGTAGCCGTGGAAAGAGCTCCCACCGTGATAATGCGACGACTGCAGGAACAAATTCAGCCTGGCTTCAGAATTCCAGAAACTTCAACGTACTAGAATGCGCGAAGCAATCTGACTTCCCGCCCTCGCAACCGCGAAATACGATCCACCATCACAGATTCGAGGGCCGAGAGTTTGATCGGCAGCACATGCGAGACCACGGATGTCTATGAGAGGAAAGGGTCTGTCTCATTACTGGAGCTACGGACAAGAGATGATTCGTCTACCAAGAGCTTCATCCTCTTCTCTGTGGCGGCCATCCATTCCATCTGCGCTTTATCGACTGTCTTTCCCAGCAATGTTGTGAATGCTATGAAAAAGAGAATCACGCCAAGCGGAGCAAACATAGCATAACTGGCCTGGTTCCATATTTCATCCGACCATTCCGAGTCAATGCACGTATCCACGCACCTGATACCACAGGATTACGGCGGCGACGGCAATGGACACAATGGCTGACCACGCTTGGTGGAAGAAAGCGATACTGTCTATGATGCGCTCGACGTCGACCGTCCTTGCCACAGGAATATGAGATTTATACGCTATTTCATCCGACGGTATTGATCGAACTCACATGTAACTGATAGCTGAACCAGCTCCTTGTGAGCGAGCAGCCACGGAGGATAGTTTCAGTGTCTTCTCAAAGATGACTGATATTCTATGGTTTATATCAGAGACGTGATAATCCTGCCAATGACTATTTCACGAACAAGGCACCCCGGTAATACACGGTGAACGCATAGACCTAAGTGGAAGCGATGAGCGTTTGGGCCGGTGTCCGTTTCTTGGTACATGCCTTGTCCCAATAGAGCGAAGTGCTAGCAGCGATGGCGAGATATACGAGCACGTATCCTCCAACGAGGGCCCAACCCCGTGACGCATTTTCTGGTTTGACACTGTGATTCCTGATAATCAGTCAACATGTATCCTTAGCCAGGAGCGACGCGACATACCCATCGATCCGGTACGACGAGACGAAGCTAAGCATGCCCTGTACGAGATATGTTTGGGCGAACGTAGCCACTATCAAGAGCAGCTGCGGTAGGACGGGAGCAAAGAAGTGGTGAGAAAACGCCATAATGGTAGCTTTCAATAGCTTGTTCTCGCTTCCCCTGCGTATACTGGTCAACCTCCCGTCGTGTACGCGAACTTATCTGTACTTACGGATTGCCATGCCCATGCTCTGTTTGCAGAGCAGCGAGTAGTTCATCGCCAGCGTCTTTCCCCGTATACGCATCTGGTACTCCGTAATCCAGTAGGTCGTCGACAGTTAGAGACCGCCTGCGGCCGGATGCAAGCAATGGTATCAGCCAGACGAAAGTCAGGCGCGAGAGCAGAGAAGAGGTCGTTTCGCGGGCACGTGGCTACTGTGCGTGTTAGATTATGTCAGCATCGCGAGCGCCTTTCGGGACTGACCCGATGCTTGGCTTGAAGCAGCCTCCGCTTTTCGACGAGCTCGAGTATGAGGAGTACGAAACGACTACTCGCAGCTACTGCGTAGCTGGCAACGACCTTTGATGAGCTCTGGAAGGCGTATCAGTATCGTTGAGACTGCCCCATGCCGTCCACGCACCAATACAAGCGTTCTTAGATGAAGGCTGTCGAAGACGATGCCACCCAGGAAGAATAATGTCAGGAGCGTGCTCGGTGCAATTCCATGCGTATGCTGGAGATACATCGCGGGCACCAGCGTGAGCTATCCGTTCAGGTCACCTCATCACAGCTGTGTTTCTAGGCAGGCAATGGACGTACCGAGGAAAACAGCTGGAGAACATACGCGGGTCTCGCCAGCGCGTGCCTTTCTGTAGGATCTCCATAGTACCCGGTCCTGCACAGGACGGTCAACGATGCTGCGCAAGCAGTCGCGAAGACAACGGTGCATATGGATTTGGATATCGCGAGCGCATCGCACGTGCTTCTGGTCACTCGGGTCGGACGCCTTGAGCGGGATCGTGAATGGGACCAAGGGGACAACTCGCAAATCTTGTAGAGGACACAAGGGATGAAGAGCGCAGACAGTAGCGTGAGCGCTCTGGTCGCGATGCGTGGAGTTGGCAGAGAAATTAACAATGGTGAGTACGGATCGTTACTGTCATGACAGTATCACTCACAGGTACTCATATTCAAGGGAGTTGAGGAGAACCATGGACGGGCACGGGGAGCTTTGGTAAACTCAGTGCAAGTGTTAAGAATTCGAGCGCGGGGGACCAGTGGGGAACGTCATGTCCGTGCTCCCTCAGGATGTTCGTTTCGTCAAGCGATCCAGATGCGGTCACACGGAAACGGGCGGCAACGGGATGTCCATATGTTTCGTCCCGCACGAACGCCGATCGACCTTGGCTTCGTCGGGAGTTCACCCGGTACGTGTCTCGCCTTCACCCGCTCAGGACCCTGGTTTGGACTGGCTCGGTACACTACGAAATTTTCATCGCCTTCGAATGGCGACAGATGTCCGATGGAACGCACGAAGTGGCGACAACATCCTGACGAACGGGCCGTCTGCTGACCCTCTGCCGAAGGCGGGTTTAGGCAATACATACCCGTGAAATCTGGAAAACCAACCCGGAGCGCGCCAAGTAAGTCGCCGAGAACCCATGGATCATCATCATCGGCGACCCCTCGGAACACGATGGCTAAGAAGGCGGACCGACAGCCCCACATCCACACCTCCGGAGAACGCGCGCGTCCGTATGCCACTGCCAACAGAGCATAGTTAGCTGGCGACGTGCATCAATCCCCAAATCAGCAGATACGACCGTCCTCTTGAACAGATACTCCTCGTAGATTGGAAGAAGGAAGCGAATCGAAACGAATGGTATAGCCATGAAACGCGAGGAGGGTTTGACCACGGTAGAAAGAACAAGGGCCCGGTGGTGATAATTGATAAGATCACTCCGCTCGGCACCGCTAATCAGAGTTGATCAGATGGGCGAAGCCGCGGAAGCACTACTGCACAACCATGACGCCATTTGGCCAATACGTGTCCATAGACGACTCTAGACGAATATGATGCGTCAAGCCAAATTGGGAGTTGTGGCGATTATCCGAGAATACACAGTACTTACCGCATACTGCTTATTTCGACCATGAGAGTCTGCATCCGGGTATGGCAATCATCCTATGCTCAATGGCGATCGGTGCTACTTAGTACTGACTCAGTTGGTATTCTTCAGTCGCAACCTCCGGCCATGAAGGCCATGCGCTAAAACAATGCCACGGTCTCGTCCTCATGCTCCACGAATCGGGATTGATCCACCTCAATCTATCAGATCGTACGCGGATGATCTCGTTACCTCCAAAGATCCTCTTGGCTCAAACTGTCAACTGGCGTATTGCTACCGATCGATGCGGTCACAAAGAGTACCAGGGCAGCGCCGAGGGCAGCTCATCCTCAGCCGTCCGGCCTTCTTGGCGTCATATGGTCAAACTCTAGAGCTGGATGTGTGCGGAGTTGAAGCCGCACAGAGAGGTCAACTCGTTCGGCGTTTGTCGCACACCAACTCCAGCCCCGTCCGAGCTTTCGAGAAGGAAGGCGGATGAACCGTTTGATGGTCGTGGGGGTCAAGCTACGATCCAAAAGGTCGCCGTTGGTTACCGTGAGCCGAGCGGGGCAACTAAAGCGCAGTTGAAAGAAGAAAAAAAAAAAAAACGAGGGGGGGGGGGGGGGGAAGAGAGGGGTGCAGTCGAGTCCTGGCCGAGCCCGGAGATAGGCCGCTGTATGTGCATACTCAGTGACAATACCCCTCACACGTCCGAGAGGTTGTGATGCCGACACGACTTTGCGTTAGCATACCCGTCCGTGCAAGAAACCGATCCTTCGATAAGCCTCATAGTATGTACAGAAGATCCGCATCCGCGTATACTGCCCTGCGTTTCCCACACCGAGACATCAAGAAAATGAGCACATCCTTTTCAGTGGACAACAGACCGTCCGTATGGTCCAGAGTGTCCCATTCAAAGCCCCCGGAGCGCGGCGGTGACCTCTCCGGCTCTGACCGCCCCGACGCTGAGGAGCGAATCGGAGAGGCCGTGCGTTCGTTCGTTGGTTCCGAGCAGGAACAGGCCGATTTGCCAATCGTATTTCTCGTTCCTACGCAGGACAAAGATATCAATAAAGGTTTCAGGGCGTCAGAGAGAAGCGATACACACTCAAAGTTCACGGAGTAGTCCCGCCCTACGAGGTCCTCCTGCCAGTGCTTGTACACCTTCCCATCCTCCTCGTCCTCGCCGCCATTATTGAGGAACCTATGAAGGTTCGGGGCGTACTGTCCCACATGTTTGAGGAACGCGAGGGAGGAGGGCGGTCGGTGGTAGCCAGTACCGAGGAACACCGCAGTGTACGTCTCAGACGCCGGCGTAGGCTGCATCTGAGTCGAGAGCGCCGAGGTATAGCTTAGCGTAATAGACGGTGCTTGACCGAACACGTGCGAGCCCGCCAACGTCGAGTCTTCGTGTTCGGATGCGGAACGTGACACCGACGGCGAGCGCGAGTCAACGGACGACGAGAGGCGAGAGTCCGTGGACGAGCGCGAAGAGGTGCGGGAAATCGCGACAGAGTCTAGAGGCCCATGGGTATGGTGGACGTCTTCGTCGGAATGCTCGGCCGTGTGCGGGGCGGAGAAGTTGACTTGCACGTTGGCGACGACCGTGCCCGCCAGGATGCGGTATTGCTCGAGGCTCTCGATCTCTTTCTCGTTGACGTCTCCGCGTACGAGGGCAATGTCCTTCGCTACGCGTTGCTTGTACAGTGTCCTGTACATGGTCTCGAGCAGCTAGAGGAGCGTCAGTCTCCCAGCTCTGCAAAGCGGAGTGGGCGGTTTACCTCGGGCTCGACGCAAGCATAGTTTGCCCTGCGGAGTTCTACAAGGAGGCCACCCCTCTCTTTACCGGGCAGAGAGAAGAACTTGGACGTCGAGCTGGGGTCAAACGCCCGACTATTGATGAAGGGAGTCGAATCCTAAGCACAAATAAGGTTAGATTTCATTTTCCCAGCAAGTCTTCGACGATACTTACGGCGGGGACGATCGTACTGGCCCTGTATACCATATCCACCCTGGCGCGAGGGAAGCGAATACCAAGGTCGTTCCAAACCTCCGCGCTCGATTGGCCGCCTCCAACCACGGCGAACCTCCCGTCGAACGTTGTGCTGGACGCTTCCTCACCGAACAGACGCCTGAGCGTAGGAAGGTACGAGGAGGTGTGAACGAGGGGAGCGGTATCCTCTGTGGCCTTTGCGCTGATCAAACTCCCACCAGGGCATGAAGTTTGACTCGACAAAATGATGGGGGCAAAGATGGGCGGAACGTAAGGCGTGGCTCCCGTGCCGACGGAGAGGTTGCGGGTGACGTATATATGGATGGTCTGAGTTAGGGTGTCGAGCACGGTGACCTTCAGGAAGCGGACTGCCGGCTTGGTTCCAGATCCAGCATCGGGAAGGACGGGCTCAACGGCCAGGACGCGATGGGAGTAACGAACGATATCCTGATGGAAATTTGTCGTCAGTGTATGCACGTATTCACGATTGACGAGAGGTTGACTGACGTCGAGCTGCTTGGCGGCCCAAGCGAGGTAACCCGCCCATTCGACCCGCGTCGGGGTCCAGGATCCTACGTTGGAGAACTGCGCGAGCCTATCGACGCCGCGGGAGTGCAGATACGACAGGAACGTGAAACGTGAAGTCGGGTTGCGGAAGGTCTAAATATATTCGTCAGCCGTCACGGAGTTAAAAACGGCTCGGTCGGGCATGTAGAGATTGCAGCGAGCCGGCAAATCGAATTAGGGTTCCTGAAGACGATAAGGTACGGAATGAAGGCAACGGCGACCATTCCAATTATAGACGACCAAAATGAATGGCGCATACGATAACGGAAACCGATAAGACGGAGATCAAAGGTTCCGAGTCGATATCCATGACAAGTCGGTGATCCATCAATTACGCGGGATACTTACTGCGAGGTCCTTGAGGAAGCTGATTTGCATCTTGGATTGCGGCAGTAAGAGTGCATCGTGCCAGCTGAAGGCGTGCTTCTGCTCTAGGAAGAGGCACATCTTGTCCCCACTATCAGCGACGGTTTCCTGAAAGGCGGCGGCGAGGGCGAGGTGGGTGGGACCAAAGCCAATGCCTAGCAGGGTGAGAGGTTCGGCGTGGGTGACAGCCGGTAGAGAGGAGAGGGGGGCTGGGAGTTCGAACGTAGAGGAGGGCATTTCGGGAGGTGGTGCAAGGATAGAGCGATGCGAAGGCTAGATATGCGTCGAAGATATGTCTAGATTTTGTGCGAGCGCATAAACCCGGGTCGACCTTCAGACTGACAGCAGGGGGGCGAGGAGGTCGCACGGGTTTATTACGGAAGCGTTGGAAGGACGGCGGGTTGGTCGCCAACAGCGTGTGGAAGATCTGGGTCGAGCGGTCGCTAACGGCGGGACGACATGCCGCGATGTCATGGGCGGGGGCGGATCTTATGTGGCACAAAATCGGGCCATCGCGTTTACGAACATGGAAGCAAGCGGAGTGCCGGCGCTCTGGGTTCCTGCTCGCCGGAATCACGCACCCTGGGCGAATTTGGGGGGGTGTGCGCATGGCCTTGCGAACGAGGACCGGTCGTGGCAGAAGGAGAGAGCTGAGCCGGGCGCGCGAGGAGCCGAGGGCAACTTCGTCACGGTCGGAGTATCTAATCTGATAGCCCTCGCGACCAGGGCGGATCTTATCTGATTAAGGCCCCGGCCGTTGCGATCCTCTTCTAGCGAAGGCCTCGAGCGTCCATTCGGCGCTCGTGCGCACGCCGCCAAGCGCCTTCGAATCTTCGCAGGATGTCTGCCTCTCCTCCGCCGTCGTCCGCACCCTTTTTCCGACCCCGCCCGCCTTAATCTGATAATTCTTGCGCCCCCTCCGTGCATCTGATTAGATCGCAATTGCCCCAACTCTGGCTCGAACGTCAGCTGAACCGCATGAGCGCGTGTCACACCGGAACGGTCCCGGCGGGGCGTCGAAGGGCGAGGGACCCTCGTAAATAGCTCGGACCATCATCGTCGACAGAACTCTTGCCAGAAAAGCGCACCTTCGACCACCTGTCGCCGCTGCTGTCTCCCCCGCGCATCCCCCCCCCTCTCTCTCTCGCCGCTACAGCGCCGACCGTTTCACCTGAAACATCCCCGCGCCACATATCCCGTTATGGCTATCCCCGACGCGCCTGTTGCGCACGATCACGTGTCCGCCTCCTCGATAGGCGACTTCCGCGTCAAGCTCAGAGGCCAGTTTGCTCTCGAGCTTTCTGCGATTGCTGAATTGACGATGAATCCCATCCTCAGATATTGAGCCTAGCCTGTTCCCTGACATTACTGGTTTGCGTCAGCACCAGCTCGCTGCTGCATCGAACGAGAGCACCGAGGATCGACTCACGACATCCTACGAAACGACGATTGCGATCTCTGACCTCGTCAAGGACGGACACCAGGGCGCAAAGGCCACCATACAAGCTTCATGGGCTCTACTCCTTGTTTGTTGCCACTGGAATGTTACTCCGGGCGCATACTGACAGCAATTTCCCCGACTTCTAACAGTACACCTTCTCGGAGGCGGAAACGCCGTCCATCGTTTTTGCCTACCACGATGGCGTAGCTGATGATTATAACCTGTCCGTACTTGACTTTGGAACGTCCTCTCCGGAGGCCATATCCGTCGCCGACGTGCTCGCCGGATTCAAGCAGCGTGATACGGTGCTACAGACGCCAGAAGCCGATGTTGATCTCCGTCAGAAGAAAATCGATACTGCCATCACCCTAAATCTCAATGTTAGTCAAGTCATCGGAGAGGACGCAAAAGACGCGCTCGATGCGTCCAAGGTATGCGCCACTCCGTTGCCTGCTCGACCTTTTCTCATCGCCCACGGTAGTTTGCCGTCGTTCTCCGCGTCTGTTCGAAAGGAGATAACGTCTCACTCAAGCTCTCATTCTCTTCCGCCCACCTCACCGAGACAGGAGCCCAAGCGTTGCTCGTGCAATTCTCGTCCGTACTCGCATACATGCTGTCGGCCCAGCCCTCGTCCCCGTACCTCAACGCGCTCGATGCCATCCCGAAGCACCTTGCGAGCATCCTCAATGACCCCCCGAAGCCGTACAGCATCGAAAAGGGCGAAGCAGCACGGCTGCATGATGCCTTCGAACGACACGCCCGTGACTGCTCCGATAAGGTCGCGCTCTGGTTCAAGAAGTCGCTATCCGACCCCGAAGCGCAGATAAAGTGGTCGTACCGCGACCTGAATGCCCGTGCCGATGGCCTCTCACGCGTGATTTGCCGTTCGCTCGCTGTCAGCGAGGATGAGGATGGGAAGGGGGTGGTCCCCATTTGCATGGAGAAGAGCCCCGAGCTTTACGTCGCGATACTTGCCGTGCTCAAGGTTAGGCTACTCTTATCGTGGCTTGAGCTGATGTTGATGGTCGTGGTCATATAGTCCGGCCGCGCTTGGTGTCCGATCGACCCCGCCTTCCCTGCCGCTCGCAAGCGCGACCTATTGGCTCGCTCGGGTGGTAAAACTGTCCTCGTATCCAAGGGGTCCGAGCTCGGCGAGTGTGCCTTGCCTGAAGATTTCGGTGTGATCGAGGTGGATGAAGACGGGAAGGCCGATGAACACGGAAGAGGCGTAGAACAGAGAGCGGTAAATATGAAGATAAGCGGAAGGACGGGTAAGGGCGACGACATCGCCTATCTTATCTGGACCAGTGGGACTACTGGCTTGCCGAAGGTCCGGGTTGTTTTCACTGTCCAACTTCACTGCATAACTGATGGCACGGATTGCAGGGTGTGCCCATCTCGCACTGGTCTGCGGTACAAGGAATCGAGGCCCTTGTGGAAGCCATTCCGTGGAAGAGCGTTGACGAACCCCGCGTTATGCAGTACGTCTATTGCTTCCGCGAATGTACAAATTTGGGCTCATGACCGGGCTTAAGGTTCTCGGCGAGCACGTTCGATGTTTCGGTGAGTCTGCGCGAAGGCATCGGTGCTCTAGGCGCTCACACTTCCTGCAACAGATTATGGATCTCTTCTATACGTGGAATATTGGAGGGACGCTGTGTTCGGCTCCACGGGACCTCATCGTCGGTCATTTTCCGGAATTAACAAAAGCATTCGAAGCTACTCACGCCAACGTACGTTGCACCGTCGCTCTTGCACACGACATCGGGGATGCTGACCGAGCTCCTGGACTAGCTCACACCCGCTTTCATGGCGGCGTTCCCGCTCTCCTCCTGCCCTACGTTGAAGACCGTCACGAGCATCGGCGAAAAGCTCCCGGACTCCGTCGCCGATATGTGGTGCGCGCCCGACGTTATCAGCGTGAACATGTACGGTCCTGCGGAGGCGACGATCGTGAGCACCTGTGAGCAGCTCCTTTGTCAGCCTTGCCGCCATAGCTGATCCGCAATGCGCTATAGTTCGTCAGTGGACAGTCAACGATCCTGTCAAGGCCCATAACGTCGGAGTGCCACTGCCGACAGTGAGCGCGTTCATCGTCAAGGGTGACATGGTTCTTCCTCGCGGGGCCGTCGGCGAACTGGGTGCGCCGCCTCTCCTCTATCTTGCCTTAGCATCATATTCATGCCATATGTCCGTAGCGCTTGGTGGCCCGCATCTTGCCTCCGGTTATTTAAATGACCCGACGAAGAGCTCCGCCAAATTTGTTCATCATCCTCGCGTGGGCTACGTGTACCTGACAGGAGACATGGCACGCGTCCTTGCGGACGGTACGATCGAGTTCGTCGGGCGTACGGACGACCTGATCAAGGTTGGCGGGATCCGCATCGAGCTCAGCGAGATCAGCGCGGCGCTCGGCCGGGTACACCCGGAGGCTCGCGAAGCGGCGACTCTTCTCGTGCAGAGGAAAGAGTGTGTAAAACTCGGTACATGCTCAGACCGGGACACTGACTCATCCGTCGCATAGTCGCCCGCAAGAGGTCATATGCACGTTCATCGCGGTGCCCTCATTGGAGTACAGTGGCGCAGCGGACGTCTCGCCGCTTGCGGTGGAAGTTGCGCTTGCTGCTAAGGACCGAGCGCTGAAGAATCTTCCAGGGTACATGATCCCCAAGTAGGTGTCACCTTCCTCCTAAAATGTACATGTAACTAATGTTCCTCGATAGGGTTTTTATCATTCTCGGTCGTATACCTCATACACCATCGAACAAGGTCGACCGAAAGGCGCTCGTGCAGGCTTATGCTAACATCGACCTCAACGCCTGGGAGATCACGCTCTCGAGCGTTAGCAAGGCGAATGTTGACGTAGCTTCGGACGAGGGAGTTGAGTTGGAACGCAAGATAGCACAGGTAGTCAGGGAAATCACCGGCGTATCCGAGTGTGCCCTAGGCCCCTCTACGGACTTACGGGCAGTGGGCGTTGATTCGGTGAGTTATTGACTCCCAATTGCCATGGATGAAGATGTTGATCCAACTTTTGTTCGAGATTTGCGCAATTAGGTTATCATCGCTTCTCGGCAAACAAGGCGTTGACGTCGCTGTAGTGGATGTCATGCAGCATCCTACTATCGCGGGCCTCGCCCGAATCACCCGAGGCAGGAATCATGACTTTGGCGACGTCGAAGAATTGTTACGCGCAGCCGTCGTGGAGCTGACTGGCGTGTCTGGGGATGCGCTGCAACCGACGACAAACCTTGCGGCCCTCGGTGTGGACTCGGTGGGTTGTACGGAGAATGTCACGCGTGTCCTTGTACTGATTGACCTCAGATCCGTGCCATCAGGCTATGCTCCATACTTGGTCATCGCGGCCTTCAATTGAGTGTAGTTGACGTGATGCAGCATCGGACCATCCGAGAGCTAGCACGCGTTGTCTCGCGCCGCTCGTCATGTGGAAAGTCACGTTCTAGTGCCACCGTCGAAGGACTACATCGCCTGGACGAATTCGACGCCAAGTGGAGGCCATTGGTTGCGGAGCGAATTGAAGATGTCCAGAGGGTATTACCGTGTACACCGCGTACGCTTTGCTTCCTGTGATGTATTCCTCATGCTGATAACCATCGTGTTAGTACAAGAGGGGATACTGTCCGAGACGCTTCAAAACCCGAGAGCGTACTGGGCTCATCACCTCTTGCCGCTCGAGCCGCACGTTGACGCAACGAGGCTTCTCCAGGCATGGAGGGTTGTCACAGCGAGCACCGAGGCTTTGAGGGCCGGTTTTGTTCCGACTGCGCGGGTGGTCGATAGCACTAATGATGCACAGCTCCCGTACGTTACACGCCGAATTCAGCGTGCAGATGCCGACTTTATCGTTACAGACCTTTCTTCCAGCTCCTTTACGACCGGCCGAAGATACAATATACCGAAACCGATCTTGATGACACCACAGAAGCCGCTGTGCAGAATATCATCGTCAACGTCATCGAGAGACATGCCGGGTCGATCTCCCCTCTTTGGGCTCTCACGCTGCTAAATGGGGCCAAGTCACAGTCGCTGCTTGTATCTATCCACCACTCGTATGTATCATGACCCTTCATGGGATTGTTTCTGACAGATCTTTAGGATTCATGATGCAGTGATGCTCGAACTAGTTCTCAGAGACGTCCATGCGTACTACTGTGGTATACCCGCTATCGCTCGACCGCAACTTACGGAAGCGCTCGCGACAATTCTGCCGGCCGACCCCGACGCATCGGTAGATTTCTGGTCCTACCGGCTCTCTCGCTACGCCGATCCCGATGCGCCAGCTGTACCTGAACTCACAGCCTCTACACTTGCTACAGACGGTTTCGTATCTTTCTGCGAACCTGCCTCCGCTGACCTTAGTGAGGCCGCCAAGAAACTTCAGTGCTCTCTTGGTGATATTGTACAGGCTGCCTGGGCGACCGTTCTCGCGGCATACATGGAGACGAACAGGCTCGTCCTGGGTCAGACACTCTCGGATCGCTCCTCTACTTCACTGCTGGAACACGCCTTGGGGCCTTTGGTGTCGGTCCTTCCCGTGCCCGTGGAGTTCCGACCGACCACCACCGGTCGCGAACTCATCAAGACGTTGATGCAGAGTCAGCACGAATCATTCCCGCATAGACATATCCGCCTTAGCAAGATCCGACTGATCCTCCAACGTCCTGTGCATCAGCCTCTGTTCCCCGCTATGTTCGTCGTCCACCCGGATACAGAGGAAGGAAATATCCCATTGAAGAGCTCTCGGCTTTGGGGGGATCCCAGGCTATTTGGCGTGTATGTCGAACACGCCTTGGCGCTCAATGTTGAGATGCGAAAGGGAGGTCGTATCGATCTCGACTTATGGGGAAATAGCAGAGTCATGTACGTTCATACAGCAATGCAATTGTGTCGTACGGTCACGTCTGAGGTCGTTATGCGATACGTAGTGCACCCGCCCAACTTCGTCTAATGGTCAAGCAAGTAGGCGCCATCGCGGCGGCAATCGTAAAGCATCCCGACGAACCATTGCAGTCACTGCACTCCGGAGCGGCATTTCAGGAGGATTTGCTCTCGGTAACCCGCGCGGATCCCAGTCCGGCTCTGCGAGAAGCCCGCGATTTGCATCCGACGTATTGGCTTGAAAAGCACGCCCGGGAGAACCCTTCCTTCCTCGCTGTGGTCGTGGCGTCCGAAATTGAAGATTGGGGCGCGAAAACGCGAGAATGGACATACCATGAACTGAACGAGGTAAGCTCTGCGTCTACATCCGGTGGAAACTGTATTTACTGCCTTTCAGGAGTCGAACAGGATCGCCAACTTTATCAGATCCGCCGGAATCCATTCGCGATGCGTCGGGTTTTCTTTACCTCGAACGCTCGAAAGCTTTGCTTATATGATCGGGTAAATGCACCGCTCTCGGAGAAAAGTCTTGTGCTGAACTGCGCCTCTACCAGTATCTTCAAGTCAGGCAATGTAAGTTTCGCGTACTATCCGGTCTCACATCCTCTGACAAAACCTTCAGACTTACCTACCCATTGAAGAGGATCTGCCTCCAGCGCGAAAGATGCTTTTAGTAGAGGATAGTCGTGCAGCCTTGGTGTTCACAAACACGCGACATATATCAAGCTTCCAAGACCCTCAGAATCAAGCGACTCTCATCAATGTTGATGCCGTCGATCATCGGGTGGCCTTGGAGCAGCATCCGGTACATCTGGAGAAGGATGAATACGACCCAGATGCTCCGTCATATCGTGAGTTTTCGCGTCGTCCATTGTTCCTTTTGTTCACGAGGCCTTCTGCAGTCCTCTATACTGTACGTGGGGGGCAATTGTGCGTTGCGCGCTTACTCATCAATGCGACAGTCTGGCTCCACCGGCATGCCTAAGGGCGTCCTGGTTTCGTACAGAAACTTAAGCTGCTTCGTGGAAGCTTTCGTCGGGCTCATCGATGAGCATTGCCCGACGGGCTCGTTTGCCGGCCAAGGACGTTACCTTGGTCGAACTTCGATTGCTTTGTAACGGTTCCTCTAGTGCTGGAGCTCGCGAATGTCACTGACAAGTTTTGTTAGCGACGTTCATTTGCTAGAAATCTTCGGCGCGTTCCGAATGGGAATGGCCACTGCTAGCGCGCCTCGATCCATTATCCTAGATGACTTGGGTAAAACATTGCAAAAGCTGGAGATCACACACTGCAGGTGCGTATACTGTTACAAGAGTGATGCGCTACTGCAAACTGACAGCTGACGAAGTCTCGTACCATCGCTTCTTGAGCGAGCTGAGCTGCATCCAGCGGACGTCCCCGCGCTGAAATGGATGTCTGTCGGGGGTGAGTCTGCCTTCCCGGCTTGGTCGCGTTGTTAACTGTCAATGTAGGAGAGAAGATCTCTGCATGGGTGATTGACACTTGGGCAGGCGAAGACAGCGGAGTAGTCTTGTTCAATGCATGTGGGTGAAGGCGGTTTCGTTTTGCTCCGTGTCTAACCTCCCCTTGTTAGACGGCCCCACCGGTACACATGACACTTCCTTTTGGAAGATTGATGCTTATTGCTTGAATAGAGGTTACTATAGGTTGTTCGCTGGCGCGTGTCACCAAGACATCGTCTCCGAGGAACATTGGACGTATTTTCCCGAATTCATCTGCTTTCGTGTTGAAGCCTGGTTCAACGGAGTTAACGCTGCGTGGCCAGCCTGGGGTAAAGCTATCCTTGCTGTGCTGTGATTTTGCCTTCCCTAATCGCTAAACAGGAGTTATGTGTGGGTGGAGACCTCGTAGCCCTGGGGTATCTCAACCGGCCAAGTGCCAGGGAATTCGTCAACGACTACGAAGGCGGCAGACTCTACAGGACGGGCGATATGGTTCGATTGATGGCAGATCAGGTACGTCTTCACATCCTTTTGCAAGATCAGCTTCTTACATCCTCTGCAGACGATCGAATACCTGGGGCGTAGTGACGACCAGACGAAGATACGTGGCCAACGTTTGGAATTGGCGGAAGTCACCGAGGCAGTTCGTACAGCCGCTCCAGCGCGGCTCGCAGTTGTCTCTTTAGTCGCCCGCCACTCAGACTCGCAGAGGGACTGGCTCCTTTCCTTCATGGCAACCGGGATGAAGAGAATGGGTTCCGAGGCGACCGTCCCACCCTCGATCATTCGGCCAGATCCGGCGCTCATGGGATCCATCATCGCAGGCTGCCGTCAACGTCTTCCCGCTTTCATGGTGCCGGACCTGCTCCTCATGTTGAACTACATCCCGATCGCTGAAACGTCTGGGAAAGCCGATTCGAAGGTGCTTCGTAGGCTTGTTGCCGAAACGCCGTTGTCGGCACTCCTCACCTCTACCAACGAAAGTGACCGAAGTTTGACCCGGACGGAAGAAGAGATATCCTCGGTTTTGTTGTCGACACTCGATTCCGGCATTATTGTCAAGCCGTCAACTCGGATTTTCGAGCTCGGCATTGACTCCCTCAGTGCTATCACCTTGTCCTTCCGATTGAGGGCAGCTGGCTTCAATGTGACCTTGCCGTTCTTGCTTGGCGGTCCGACAGTCGAGGAAATTGCGGGCAAGAAAGGAGTACAGGTCACTAACAGCCCCCCGGACGCAGTACCACAGAGCCTAGACCATAATAGTGTCCATCGACCCCGAGTCAAGCATTTATTCCCTGAAGGAGCCATCGATCGCGTATACCCTGCAATGCCCCTTCAAACCTCCATGGTAATCAAGACTCTAGACTCGAAGGTCGCTGCCTACGTCAATCACTTCATCTTCGAAGTCTACGCTGACGATACCGATCGCCTGATCGATGCCATCGTCGCCACAATCAGAGAGCATGACATCTTGCGCACATGCTTCGTGCGCGTTGACGACGAAATACTGCAAGTTGTTCTCTTCCCGGCCAAATTGCCCTCCCCATGGTCGCGGCATTATGTGGCGGTCGGAGCCTTGGACGCGTTGAAAAGGTCTCTGGGAGACGTCTCTCTCGACATAAAACATGCCTTAGGCCGGCGCCCGCCGTTGAGGCTCGGACTATGGCGCGAAGAGGGACATTCATACTTGTCGCTCTCGATCCATCATGCAATATACGATGGTCAGTACTACTTGGTATTTATATCCTGTTTGCTCACCAAATATCAGGAGAGTCATTGATGATGTTCCTGGAGGATGTAGAGGATCGCTATCACAAGCGCGCGCCATCCCGACGCACACCATTCTCGGCCCTACTAGACCACGCGGCGATGCAAGATGAATCTGCTGCTCGCGAGTTCTTTTCAAGATACTTCCACGGCCTTCGCCTCTCACCTGGAATAGGGGTACCCGAGGATGAGACGGATCACCATTCAGATGACATCACTATGGGGCTGAGCTCGGTGCAGGCAGCTGCCAAAGCGTGCGGTGTGACCGTCCACGCAGTCCTTCAAGGTGCATTCGCCGTATCTTTTGGAGAGCATTTGGCGCACGATGACATTGCACGTTTTCATCGCTTATGACACCAATGGTAGCTGATTGATCACATAGATATTCGGAGTCGTTCTTTCTGGCCGCACCGTTCCTATCGAAGGTGCAGAGACTATCCTCGGACCGTGCTTCACCACCGTCCCAGTTCGCGTTCAATTGCGTCGCGCAACCCGACTAGTCGATGTAGCCAAGGAAATCCAGAGAAACGCTGCCACGATGAATCCGTATCAACATGTATCTCTTCGTCAAATCCAGAAGTGGATATCGGCTGACCGGCCTCTGATCGACGTTTTATTCTCCATGAATCACACGTCCGAGAAGACATCGTCCTCAAACCTCTGGAAGCAAATTGCCGACGTGTTCTCTATAGAAGTAGGCCCCGTTTGCACACTGGGACGCGGCTCATCTGACGGCTGCGGATAGTATCACTTAGCTGTTGAAGCGGACGTTGGCATTGAACAGAACATGCTGCGGTTAAGGTCAACATATAGCTCGCGATTCGGACAGGCCGCCGCGCGAAACATACTGGTTCGCATGCAAGAGCTGCTTCAGGACCCGGATGTTCTCTTAGCAAGCGAACGCTCGCTGCAAGAGCGACCACTTGCCTTCGAAGTCCTTCCATACCTACCCGAAGAAGAAACAATCCGGCGCGTCCTTTCCAGCACCTGCGCAATTCCATCGGAAGCGATCGCAAGGGACACATCTTTCCTCCGCCTTGGCCTTGACTCTATCACGAGCATCCGATTTACCAATGCCTTGCGTCGTGCAGGCTTGAATGTCCGTTCATCCGCAATCATGACCCACGCCAGCGTTGCAAGACTTGCTCGTTTTTGCCACTCTAATGCTGGTGACGTCGACGCGGAGGCAGCGTTTCTCCCTTCGGAGTCCTCAAGAATCCTTTCAAAGTACTCTGAATCGATACGACGGCTCTCCCCCGAGGACCGCGTTATCCACGCATATCCGGCGACCCCTCTTCAATGCGCCATGTTGACGTCTTCTCTTGCATCTGGAGGCAAGCTCTATGTAGTTTCGCATCCATTACGGCTCCTTCCATCTACCGACATCGCCCGACTCCGAGCGGCGTGGACACGACTCGTTGCAAAGCGGGAGATTTTCCGCACGACCTTTCATCCAGGAGACGAGTTCCCATGGATAGGTGCCGTCCACACCGATCCTCCCGTAGAATGGGTCGAACACGAAGGTGTCGAAGAGGAGCGATGGCCTTCATCTGTATCGGAGTTCGTCGCCAGTTTCATCAACGATCAGCTCGATGCGTATGAGTCACCTCCAATCTGTGCCCATGTCCTGCGAGCTTCAGATGGCGCTTTGTTTGTACCCATCATGCATCACAGGTACTACCACTTCCCATAGCTCTCCCCGGATTCCCTAACCGATTTTCTCCCTCCAGCTTATACGACGGGCTATCGCTAACACATTTCCTTGGGGATCTCGCTCGCGTTTATCTCAGAGAGGATCCCCCTGAACGACCCGATTTCAGCAAAGCGGTTCCGCATCTCCACACGAAGAACGACCTCGGACTTCAGCTCTGGCAGCAAAGCCTTCAAAACTACGAGCCTTCTTACGTCGCCTCACTGTTACGAAAGAACGATAGCCCTACACAGCACGCTGAGAGGAAGTTCACCTTGTCTCCGGCTGAAATGACGGAACATTGCCAGAGGCTCGAGATCACGCCTTTTTCAGTGGCTCAATTCGCTTGGTGAGTTGGTATCCTCTCCAGTGTGTCGCATTTTTGACGATAAATCCAGGGCCGTCGTTCTCGCTACGGTCATCCGACGTGGTGATGTCACCTTTGGATGCTTGGTATCAGGGAGATCCATCCCTATTGATAACTGCTGGGACATCGCGGGTCCCACCTTCAAGTGAGCTGCTGATATGTGTATGATCTGGTCCTGCTGCTCATTAGCGTCCAGTACGATTCCGGTCCGGGTTGTTCTGCCATCGGGCCCGATCACCCATGCCGAAGCACTCCATGCGCACCGAAACGCGCAAACCGCCTTACAACCATATCATCATACCCCGCTTGCAGCCATCCAAGCCGCTTTTCGGAGGGAGACCGGCTCGGACCGGTTGTTCGATGTTCTATTTGTATTCCAGAAAACGGATGAATCGACGGCCAAGGGCCGATGCGAGACTTTGTGGGAGACCATAGAACTTTCAGGAACGGAACAAGAGCCGGAGGTATGACTCCGGCATTCGTTACTTCAGATTGCTAAGTTCTCATCCAGTATCCACTGAACGTCGAGATGCAAGTAAGCGGAGATGCTGCTGTCCTGCGAGCCGCCTGCAGATCTGGCATGATGGAGCTTGACGCGCTGCTTGGCATCCTTGACTCGTTCGACGAGATCCTTTCGAATATTCTTAAGGCGCCTGGCGACAGTTTGTTCGCTTACTCAGTCTCAACGGCAGGCGCCGGATCAAACCCTACTGGTATGCAGCCTGTCATGGGCCAGCATAGTCCTGCGGATCAGGAGGTATGGAATCCAGAGGAGCTCCAACTACGCGAAGTACTTTCCGAAATCTCGGGCGTTCCGGAGGAGAAGATCGGACGCCGAACACCTATGTACGCCATAGGCCTGGACTCTATTGCAGCCATCCAAGTCGCGAACCGCTGTCGCAAGCGTGGACTGTCCGTTTCTGTCGTGAATATACTCACAGGCGGTCATATATCTGGTATCTTCCGTGAACGAGCGTCAGAGCAAGCCTTACTGCAGAAGGCATCAATCGCGACAGTGTCAAGCGATCAAGTCGCTCGTGGTTCAGACATGCGAGCTGATGAAGTGGAACTTGTGCTACCGGTTCTCTCCGTGCGTGCGCGACTTCTCAGATGGTAGCATTCATTCATCTTGACCCGATACTAGGGACAACAATACCACCTCGCAGCTTGGCTTTCCTGCGAACGCAAATTCTATGAACCTCCATTCGTTTGTATGTCTGTTTTCACGGAGAAAACGCATCTACTAACATGGGTGGAATAGACCGCTTCGTCTCTCCGGCCGACCCGGAACGTCTTGCAGCGTCATGGCGCTCGCTGCGTCTACGCCATTCGGTGCTCCGGACTTCCTTTGCCTTCACTGGAACCGGAGAGCTCGTTCAGGTCGTCCACAACGACGTACCGCTTCATGATAAGACATACGTCCTTATTCAGGATGACGAGAACCTGGAGGAAGCAGTGAAGCGCACGATTTGCACGGAGGCATGTATCTCGTCGGACATGTTCACGGTTCCGGTCCGGGCAAGGCATGTCAAAGCGGCTGACGGTGATGCATTCGTTCTCATCATCCATCACGCTCTTTACGGTACGTGGCTTGGTTTCATCTCCCTGTCAGAGCTAAGACTCATCGCCGCGCGTTAGACGGCTGGTCGATCCCGTTGCTCATGGACGACCTATACGCCCTTTACACCGGCGAACCTTGCGCAAGTGTGCCGAACTTCACTCGGTTCGTCGAGAGGGTAGCGAGTGGACCGAAATGGGTCGATCGTCAATACTGGTCCCGAACGCTGGATTCCCCGACCGTGTGCGTGCTTCCCGAAATGACGGAGTCTTCTTCCTCGTCCGCTTTTGCACTGGTCCGCGGTGCCGTTGCAGGCGTATCGAGCCTCGCCCGTCGCGCGCAGGAACACCAGGTAGCGCTGTCGGCCTTCGTTTTGACATGCGCAGCTCGCGTCGTGGGCGAGCTGGCGTTGACCCCGGACCCGATCGTTGGGTTGTTCCGCGCCGGACGCACGTCGTCGTTCGAGGGGATAGAACGCGTGGCCGGGCCAACGCTCAACCTGCTGCCTGTGCGCGTGCGCGGCGCGACAGTCTCGAATCCTGTCATCGTCGCCAAACGGCTCCAGCAGGACCTGAACGAAATGGTCGCGCACGAGCAGGCGGGTCTCGCAGAGGTGCTGCGCGCGATCGGGTTCGCGAACAAGCCGCTCTTTAATGTATTCCTCAACTTGCTGTGGCACGCCGATCGCGTTCGCGAGAAGGAGAACGAGGTGCTGGAACGTTGGGATGTAAGTTACATGCCATGCACTCGAGATTGGCCGGTTCTGATCTGTTGTTTCAGATCGGAGTGCCAACCGACTTTGCGCCAACCCAAAAGTTAACTGGCAAAACTGCCATAGACGGCCTCGACCACTCGTACATACCTAAAGTAAGTGAGCTGCGTATGTCGGGGACGAAGCTGTATCTGAATGCGGCTTCCCAGCACGCACTGTTCGTCGACATCGCGCTCGATGCTCAGAACGACTGCATCGACATCGGCGTACGCTCCGAAGGCGCGGTGATGGGCGAACCCGCGATCAAGGAGTTCATACGCCGTATTTCCGCAGAAATCAATGCGTTATCCGGCGGAGAGATGTAAGTCGACCGAGTTCACATGAAGCGTTGGAACATCGAACGTTGTAGAGTATCGCCTTGCATGTATCATCCACAACCTAGGAGGAAACTCGTGTTGCTTGTCTGGACGGATCATCAGCAAGAGATTGCGAATCTCGGACCTGCGCTGCCCCGCGATGTGAATTTGATGAATGCCCGCGTGCAATGATACAGACAAAGTGGGGATACTATGACGGAACGGACCTTATCGCCAAGCACGCGATAAGCTCTCGCCGAGAGCGAGCCGGATACGGGGGCAATCTCAAGGGCAACTCAATCTATCATACCGGAATCAGATTCGCCGGTCAAAGTGGCCGTGCGAGGGGCTCTCGACCCTCAGGCAGGTTGACAGAGCACGGGACAGAGCACATTGTTCATACACTACTCGACAGTTGATTAAATACGTCTATGAATGACATGAGGGTGGCAGAGGAATGAATCATCGCTCGTACAGAAGGTCGTTCATTACATACTTAACCTATTAAATTTACGTCCCCCTTTTTTTGCGAACAGACAACAACAGCGATATCGATGGCGTTAGTGCTTCTCGACGTGACCCTCGTCGATCGCGTTCAGCTCGTCCTCGGCGGCGTCGAGGTGGCGGTGGGCGAACCAGAACACGATGCCAGCTACACCAGCAAGAACGGCCATGACGCCGTAGTTCCATACCAACAGCGGGTCGGCCGAGAGCGAGACGAAAGCTTCGCCCAAGGCGGACGAGATGGCGGACATGAAGAGATAGACGGACATGACGAGCGAGCGCATGTTCTTCGGTGCCTTCGTGAACGCGTACTCGAGCCCGGTAATGGAGGCGAGGATTTCCGAGATGGCGATGAGGACGTAGGCGCCGGTTTGGGCCCAGACGTTGATGGGCGCGACTTCGTCGCAGGCGCTGGCGTGGTATCCGCACGGGTTCTTCTTGTAGATGTAGTGCTGGAGGACCGCGGCCCAGATCATGGCGGCGGCGCCGGTGAAGAAGCCGAGGGTGATCTTCTTGATGGGCGTGAAGTGGATGCCGACGCGGCGAAGGGCGGGGTAGATGAAGATGTCGCAGATGGGGATGAGGATGATGAGCGCGAAGGGGTCGAGGTTGGAGAGGACGTCGTTGGGGAGGCCGTGGGTCTGCATCGTGGCGGCTTGGGAGGTGAGGTTGTTGTTGAGCTGGTTGTAGGTGAGCCAGTAGATGGGGTACCAGAGGAAGACGGTGCAGGCCTTGAGGCCGCGCTTGACCTCGTCGACCCAGACGTCGTCGAAAGTCATCCAGGACGGGCGCTCGCCCTGAATCTTGGACGGCTTGGCGGAGTCCCAGAAGTCGGGCGCGGTGAGGTTGCGAACGAGGCGGACGGGGTTCCAGGACCAGCGGCCGCGGGCGGCGTAGCGCCAGAGGCGAAGGGCGGTTCCGAGGATGGAGCCGGTGGGCGGGGAGCGCGTGTACCGGTTCCTGCCAAAGAAGAGGACGAGCGGGCAGAGGAAGAAGACGACGGTCGGGAGCATGTACGCGAGCCAGAAGCCGACGTATTTTTCAGAGTAGGTCATGCCGATCTGGCCGATGAGGGCGCCGATGTTGGTGAAGAGGTAGAAGTACATGTAGATGCGGGAGGTGGTGAGCACCGGGTCGACGATGACGCGCTCGCCGGCGGCGGTGGTGGAGATGAAAAGCTTGCTGCGCTTGTATTGCTCGGCGACGAGGGGCGAGATGTTGGATTTGAAACCGCCGGTGCCGAGGCCCATGATGACGATCGCGATGACGAAGCAGGCGAGAGCGCCGTTCGAGTGCTCGATGACGCCGGGAACGGCGGAGATGATGAGGAGGACGTGGCCGAACATGGCGATGCCGACCGCGACGCAGACGGTCTTGAAGCGTCCCCAGTAGGTGTCCGCGATGTAGGCGCCGAAGAGCGGGATAACGTACACCCAGAAGGAGTTGAAGGTGGTGAGACCGGTGGAGGCGCGTTGGCCGAGGCCGAGCGCACCAGACTGGCCGTGAGCGCCGCCGGCGCCCGTGCGGTGGTTGCCAGGGTCGTCGGGTGTGCCGGAGGGGAGGGGTTGCTGGATGAAGTTGGTGAAGACGACGGTGGAGCCGTAGTACGAGAAGCGCTCGGCGAGCTCGACGGTGGCGATCACTTCGAAGCGGTCAGTTCAAGGTGTATCGCAACACAAATCGATATACGGGCACGCACTGTAGGCAGCCCAGGGAAGAGAGTCGGACACGCGGCGGAGGGTGAGCTTCTCTTCCTCGGTCGGGAACTCGAGGCCCTCGTGGGCATGGTCGACCTCGTAACCAGAGTCGGACTCGGAGTGGCGGATGCCCTTCTTCTCAAACTCGACCTCGTCTTTCGCGGCCTCGGCGACGCCGATGGGGATGGCGCGGTCGGGCTCGAGTCCAGCCATGCTATCGTTTTCTTCGTCGGCGGGTGCGAGGGGGAGGAGCTCGTACGCTGCTCGGGAGGACGAGGAGAAAGGAGGGTGAGGGTGGTGGTGGTGGTCGCGCGCGGACGATGTTGTTCCGTCTGTCCGGCTTTTGAGCCAGCGAAGAAGGCTGGCTCCGCTTGGCCGGCTCCAGAAGTGGGAGAGAGGCATATGGCGCGATCAGGCTTCTGCTATATTTGGACCGCGCGGTTCTTCTGATCAAGAGTTGCAGATATCATGTCCCCGCGGTCGCGTGCGTGTTTCTGCATCAGCCCGGGCTCGCGTATGAGCGGCGCTGGCCATCAGAGACGGTATCGCGACAGACCTTGGCACCGCGATGAGCGTCGACGAGACGTGCGAGACGGTGCTGGTGAACGATTTGCCCCGGGTCGCCGCCGCCGAGCGATCGCTTAGCAAGCCCAGCCACCGTATCGCGCAATCCTCAGCTCCTCCACTCTCCTCGAAAATAATAACAGACGAGCGACGTCGGCGAAGGCGTCAGAGAGGGCGTCAGACCGTCGCTCACTCGGAACGTTCCGGAACCGACGCAAATGTCGCACAGCGGATTGGCGTGCCTGCCAAGCGACTGATCAGCTCGGGCTTCTTCCACCCCACCCTCCGCGCCACTCGACGCTCGAGTCTCACCTCGTCGCTCTCCGCCCCTCGACTTGCGCAATGGCCGCTTGATATTGCTCACCACTCGTTCACTTTCCGACAACCCCAAGCGAGCGCCAGACAGATGCGGGAGTCAGTGGAGAGAGATGGCTTTGATGCCAGCATAGCTACGACCCCACGCCCACGAACGATAAGGGGGACCGGAATCCGGGATACGGACAAGGTTAGAGTCCGCCTTCGAGCCGCTCTTTATGTTCCACTCCCCCCTCTCGCCGGCAGGAATGCCGAATTTGCTGAAAGCTGTCGTACGCCATGTACACATGTTTCTTTGATCGGACCCCTTGCTACACGTTCGGTCCACCGAAGCCGACGCTAGTTGTGCTCTTTGTCGCTGGACCGCGGCGATCAAAGGCGTGATCCTGATTTGCCTTTCGTGATACACCTTATCGTCTGCACCGATAGTCCCCTCGGCCTTTTGAACTCTGCCATACCCAGGGGGTTTGACACGAACAAAGTTTTCGACGGCCCATATCAAAGTTTAATTAAAGGTACACCGCCATCTTGGTCCCACGCCCCAGCAGACTGGGAGATACTATCATCGAAAACAGTATTTTGCGTGGGATTTAAAAGTGTGTCAAGTAATCTCGGGTTTTGTAGGTGGACATGATGTATCCTATCCTTGTGTTCGGACGGAATGCCACAGACACACCTATCCTTGTGTTCGGACGGAATTGAGGCTCAATTCCGTCGGGTACCTAAATCTGTGCAGAATTATCGTGGGAATCCGAATATCACACTCCCATGACTGTGGGAATGTTCCTTCGGCCGCTACGGCCGATTTACTGAATGGAATTGAGGATTGGACAGAGTGGGTCTATCAACTTGGGTCATTATCATCGTACCCACGGCCCAGCTAGGAGTTGAGCCTCAATTCCGTCCGACTCAGATTTGGTCAATTGTAGCCTATCCATGCCCCAGGGTGGAAAACAGGCTGTTTTCCGCCCGTCTCAGATTTGGTTGATTACAGCCTACATGCATAGATTAGCAAGATATCAGTGGTCAGGAACCATCCCCACAGATTTTGAATCACTGCGCAGCCGGCCATAAAATGGTTATGGTCTGGAGGGTGCAGAGCCATTTGTGAGCCCGATACAGCAGTTATGGGGTGAGTAACCCTCTCTAAAAATCGCCCCAGGTCACCTCCATACGGCACGCATTTTTGCCCGATTTATGAACCGCTTTACCGTGGGAAATGCGAATGCGCCGAGTTTTTTAAATCGAAAAAAATAATAAGGCAAGTGCGCCGAGTGATTATAAAATCAACGGCTGCACCGGAGGTTGCGCCGAGATAAAAAGCACTGTGGAGCCGATTAAGATCGACGCAGAAAAAAAAGATGGTATTTTTACATCCAATATTCATCCCACAA